CCTCGGTAGGCCAAGCCGGGTGCACAAGGTCGGCCGCGGCCTGGAACCAGGGGCGGGAGAAGAAGAGGAACCTTGGACAAGTACAACGAGGGATGCACAAGTACGATCATCGTTAACAAGGCAAGGCGAGAGACGAAGATATGTCCAGTTGACGAGTGCATGATGTTTCTTCGACGTAACATTTACGGTGTCGTCGTGAAAAAGCAATGGCGCATCCGTACGGAGATTAGTATTCGTACGGAACTTAGTATTTGTGTAGCATATGCGTCCTAAAGCAAGCAAATACGGGAACCTAGCCACAGGCATGGACTCACTCCGAGAATATGTGCTCGAGATTGTTCTCGGTCATTTCGTCGTCCGCGTCGCATCCCACAATCCGGTCTCTCGGGACGGTCATCCCGATACCGAAGCGGCGTACCTCTTCATGACGGACCAGGTGTAGCCCAACTCGTGAACAGCGGGAAGGGGTCGTACGTGTGCACTTCATGTGGAATACCGTCATGTTCTAAGGCGACCATATACAGGAAGCCCGTGAGCCGTTCGTCCACCACAGGTAAACTCTACCTCACGGCACTTTGCTTACGATACGACTAAATAATCAACACACACCTCGGGCGGAACATGCTGTCGTGCGCTTCGTGTTTTCATTGTTGATTGCATCGGTGTTTCAGCACCAGAATCACGGTGGGCTCAGCCTTCCGGCCCTCCTTCCTTCGGATGGAGGAGTAACCAATCGATTCTGAGTTGCACACACATTCCACCGCTAAGTCAGGGCTGGCGTCTATCATCACATGTCACGCGGCAGTCTGTTAGTGCTCACCGCGTTGACCGCGCGCTGGCCGCCGTGGTACGCGTTCATCATGAGCCAAGACAACGGGACAGCCCACTTCCGAAACACTTGGGCGGCCTCAACAATGTTTCGGCCCAAACACAGGAAAACCGGAATTGCGGACGGCCTCAAAACCCTGGGGCGCGATGGTCTGGCGGGGTGGTGGAATCAGCCAAGGTTGTACTGGCTGCACCCACTCCCCCCTCCAGAATACCGCTCCCCAGGCCTTTGGCGCCGCTTGCAAGTTGATTTTCCTGTGCGTGGGCGGAAACATTGTTGCGGCCGCCCAAGTGTTTCGGATAGAGGTTTTTTCCTTTGAATGCTGGCTGAACCCATGAGTGTGCGTGTGTGTGTTTTCGTCCCGTGGCAGATACAACCACACATGACGGTGTTGTAGACGATGTAGTAGTGTAGCGGGTAGAGAAAGTGAACCGCCACAGAGAGCATCGATCGGGGAACAAGATCGATCCTTAAGCAACCAACGCCAGAGCGGCCCGGACACCCGTCGCCAAAGGTGGGGAGGGTGAGAATCTGGACCAAGACATTCCTACGGCACCCTGCAGCCTCACCATTTTCCTAATTGGTTGTATCCAACCTCGTGGGGGTTGGATAAGAAACCTTCGCGCCGAGCTAACTTGCCAAACGAGGCCGCGGTTGATCCCTGCATCCGGTCGAGCCATGGCTGCCAGGTTGCGTCCAGTCGGAGATCAAAGGTACTATGGTCGATGCCTGAGGTGGGCGGTAGGCTGTGCAGGGTGTGCAGGACCTCACACGCATGGTTGCTTTGCATGAATGCCTGAGATTCTGTGCCCGGTGTACGTTGCACAAACTACGCTGCAGGTGTGGATCGTTTCGTCGCGAAGGGTACAGCAGTAACTCAACCCCGTTATCTCGCCGCATGTTGAAAATTTGTGTGTCGTGCGCCGTCGTGACTCCGTTCTTGTTCTTGCTTCCTTGCGTAACGCTACTCGTACGGTTGGTTGTTGGGCGTACGTGGTGATTGGTAGGATCGCTACATGATCGCTGGAGGCGAAGGTGTTTTTGCTTGGGTAGCGAGACCTTCGCGCGAAGCATGTGTTCGGAGTTTGGAGTTTGAGGCGGCGCAATTAAGTTGGGTTGGCCCGAATGGTAACAAACGCTGCTGTTGTTCTTCCATCCGTCGTGAGAGAGGCACAACACGGTATGGAGGCACAAAGGTATGGCTCCACGCATGTACTCTGGATTGAAGCCTTGTAGACCTGTTGAGATGATAGTCTCTGTGCTGTTCTGGACATGCAGCGCACAGAGAGTATCCCCACAACAAATTTGAATGACGACGAAACTAACTGCCGTCAAATAATTCGAACATCGACCACGTAGACTACGCTTCGTAGACTAGTCTATACCACATGCATAGACGATTGTAGTACATAGGAACAGGTCAACGATCTTTCTCACGCTTGACGGATTGATTGTTTTTTGCATACTATACCTGTGTGTAGATCCGTCGTCACGTTTATATGAGAAACACGCTCGACAACAGACGGGGTTCGCGCGAGATTTCTCCCATTTCATTGACCAGGAGGGGGGGGAGGACATATCACCGCACCTCACATCAAACACTCACACGCTCACACGTGATTTCCCTAGCCTGCAGAAATCACTCCTAGGCATCAACTGCAGCTCTGCCACATCCAACAGGTGAACAGCTAGCGCGTACNCTATACCTGTGTGTAGATCCGTCGTCACGTTTATATGAGAAACACGCTCGACAACAGACGGGGTTCGCGCGAGATTTCTCCCATTTCATTGACCAGGAGGGGGGGGAGGACATATCACCGCACCTCACATCAAACACTCACACGCTCACACGTGATTTCCCTAGCCTGCAGAAATCACTCCTAGGCATCAACTGCAGCTCTGCCACATCCAACAGATGCAGCTAGCACGTACTACGCGTGACAGTCGAGCGCGTACTACGCGTGACATGTGTTGTCGACCTACATAGTTTGTGTGCAGCTTAGCTCGCCTTTGAAAGCAAGCCTGTTCGGACAATTGGAGTCTCTTCATGATGCAGATCAGTCTGTATGTATACATAGCCTAGCTCGCCAAGAGCCAGTAACACGTGATTCGTTATTCAGAAGACGCCTGAATACCTGGCCCGCTGTTTCTCGCTTCAATGAGTCATCTGACAAGTCCCGTGTCTCGATTCAACGAGGCATTTGACCGACAACGATATTTTCTCAGTTCAAGTCCCCGACCACGTATGCAGATCCAACCATGCGCGCCCAGCCCTCTCGTACCGTCTTGCCCACCTGCTCACAATTTACACAGCCTCAGTGGACCACATCGTCAATCTGCACTGAAATCGACTTGACAACGGAAAAACACAACAGGTGAGTGAGGCAGGTGGCGCAAGAATACAGAACGTTATCTCGCCGCATGTTGAAAATTTGTGTGTCGTGCGCCGTCGTGACTCCGTTCTTGTTCTTACTTCCTTGCGTAACCCTACTCGTACGGTTGGTTGTTGGGCGTACGTGGTGATTGGTAGGATCGCTACATGATCGCTGGAGGCGAAGGTGTTTTTGCTTGGGTAGCGAGACCTTCGCGCGAAGCATGTGTTCGGAGTTTGGAGTTTGAGGCGGCGCAATTAAATTGGGTTGGCCCGAATGGTAACAAACGCTGCTGTTGTTCTTCCATCCGTCGTGAGAGAGGCACAACACGGTATGGAGGCACAAAGGTATGGCTCCACGCATGTACTCTGGATTGAAGCCTTGTAGACCTGTTGAGATGATAGTCTCTGTGCTGTTCTGGACATGCAGCGCACAGAGAGTATCCCCACAACAAATTTGAATGACGACGAAACTAACTGCCGTCAAATAATTCGAACATCGACCACGTACACTACGCTTCGTAGACTAGTCTATACCACATGCATAGACGATTGTAGTACATAGGAACAGGTCAACGATCTTTCTCACGCTTGACGGATTGATTGTTTTTTGCATACTATACCTGTGTGTAGATCCGTCGTCACGTTTATATGAGAAACACGCTCGACAACAGACGGGGTTCGCGCGAGATTTCTCCCATTTCATTGACCAGGAGGGGGGGGAGGACATATCACCGCACCTCACATCAAACACTCACACGCTCACACGTGATTTCCCTAGCCTGCAGAAATCACTCCTAGGCATCAACTGCAGCTCTGCCACATCCAACAGGNTCCGTCATTCGGTTCAACGAGGCATTTGACCGACAACGATATTTTTTTCGGTTCAAGTCCCCGACCACGTATGCAGATTCAACCATGCGCGCCCAGCCCTCTCGTACCGTCTTGCCCACCTGCTCACAATTTACACAGCCTCAGTGGACCACATCGTCAATCTGCACTGAAATCGACTTGACAACGGAAAAACACAACAGGTGAGTGAGGCAGGTGGCGCAAGAATACAGATTAGGGGAGCACCACAGAGGAAGTGACGGGATCATCCACTACTGACTGTGAACGAGAGGGAACAAGCAATGGTCGATGCCTCCGGACGTCGTATCGCGGCTGTAGTGCGGTAAATACAACGCTCAACGACATTCAGATAGGGTGACGAAGAGGAAGTTGCACGGAGATTCCCCTCTTGCACGAGTGCCACAGCCACGGGCAATCAATCAATTGTTAAATATCGCCGGGGGTAGGCAACCACTTCGTCGTGGGTCGTCGTCTAGGTAGCGCTTGGACCTGTTGTAGCTCATGGCATTGACCTCGCCGAGTCTGCCCAATCCGACTGTACAACTAACTTCTGCTGTGCCTGCTTCCTCCGTGCATTGCTCGATCTGTTTCCTGTTGATCTCTACGGATAAGTGTGACACATTTCGCGACAAAACATGTGCGCTTCTCTCTTTACGAGAATGATCATCATCGCGGCGTTGGCGGTAAGCGCCTTCTCCGTATCATCCCCAAGTCACGAGGTGTCCTCGGGTACCGCACCAGGGTGAGTCACACTGACTGGGGTTGATAGTCAAGCCGACCCGCCCGTCTCCACTTCGAGCCTANCCTTCAATGGCACAAGCAGGGTGCTCAATCGAACACTGCAATTCGCACCGTGTAGACTACTGTCGATTGTAGCCCAATCAATGGCAAGGATCATCAGGTCGGATTAATGACAGAAAATAATATTGAGAGCCGTCATGACAGTGTGCTGCATGTGTTTTTCCGCTAGCGCTTCGTCCCATATACTTTCAGCGCTCGCAGTATCAACCCTCCGTGTGGTAGGAGCACTCTTGTCCCGGGGTCTCACGCAGACGGTTCCTCTGAGGGTGCATGCCGTCAGCGTTAGGGCAATACTGCATGGGCCCACGAATCCTCTACCCCCTGTCAACAACAGCTGCAACTCGAAATAGGTGTACTTCGCGTAGAAGCACTGCTAACGCGGCGTCCCGGCGATATTTGAACGCGTAACATTGTCTTCTCGGCGCTTGAGGGCACGCCAACAGACCAATAGACCACGCCAACGAACCACGGCGGCAGTGCAAGTAGAACCACGTGCGTAGAGAAGCCCAAGTAGAACCCAGGTCACAGCAGCAACGCACAACCTTCTCGTGTGTCCAACAACGAATTTTGTACAATCTTGTTACCCCCACCATAGCGCCGCCCGTCGAACATAAAGCCCAAGTAGAACCCAGGTCACAGCAGCAACGCACAACCTTCTCGTGTATCCAACAACGAATTTTGTACAATCTTGTTACCCCCACCACAGCGCCGCCCGTCGAACATACAGGCGAAATGATTCCTTCGCGGACAAGGTGTTCCTGTTCGCGACCACGGTCGGTACCGGGGACCCCTCCCCTACCCCGCCGCTGTCGCGCCTCCCGTCGGCCGAGGAAAACCCCCCCGTATTACCACCGACCATCATCCCGCCCCTGTGGCGCGTGGAGGATGCGGCGGCTGCTGCGGCCGAAGAGCAACAGCGGCCGCGCGAAAGCTGGCTGAAGAGCATCGTCGCCACCATCATGGTGGCCGTTCGCTTCCTGGTTGGCCCCAACGGCCAGAGGACGAGGCAGGGATGCCGGGGCGACGACGACGACGACGACAACCACGCCCCCGCCCAACGCGCTACGTGGCGGGAGCGAGCCGCAGCTGCCGCTCGTAGGTTTCTGCGCTCAGCGAGAAACAAGATCAAAAACGCCAAGGACCGCCTCCTCGCCATGTTCGACATCTCCGTCGCGAAGAGAACCGCTCGACTGTTGGACCTGGCGCGCAAGATCAACGTGCAGGACATGCCGCGCCGAGCGGGGTTCAGACGCCAAGGCAGCGATGAGCTCTTTGAGGTCGATCGTAGCCGCCTGGGAGTGAGCGATGCCGTCGCCGCCGCTGTGAAGGAGATTTGCACCAAGTTGGCGGCGGTATTCCCTGTCATCGGGTATAACCAGGTACGCGGGGTGCCGTAGGACTGTTCTGGCCCGGATCCTTGCCCGACCGTTGGCGCGAGATGGCTGTCCGAGTGGCTGCAGAATCATGTAGTTTCTTGCGGTTCGACATATCTGCGGCACAAGAGGATCTTGTTCCCCGATCGGTGCTCTCTGTTGCTTGGTGGATTTCCAAAGCGTTTACTTTCTCTGCCCGCTACTACCCTATCCTACAACAGCTCATGTTGCAGTGAATCTGCCGCGGGTAGAGCCAGCATTTATTGGCGTGTTCGTCCAACTGATCCTGACCGTACCCACACCGCCCCCGCCTTAACACCGCGCCCCAGGGCTTCGACGCCTCCTGTAAGGCGATCTTCATCTGTGTGGGCGGAAACCTGGGTGTGGCCGCCGCCGTTTTCACCAAGTGGGCCGTTCCCTTGGCCTGGATGATGATGAACCCATACAGGCACGGCCAGCTCGGCATCAACACTGTGAGCACCTCAGCAGACTGTTGCTGCGTGACGCGTGCTATAGACGTATCGTGCTGACGTAGTGGTGCAACGTGTGTACACCTCAGAATTGAGCGGGGATGCTTTCAGCCGACGGAGGAAGAGGGACGACGGCTGGACCAAGCCTGATCCTGGTGATGAACGATTGATATCGTCAACAGTGAAAAATGGAACACACAACGGCATGTACCGCCGGCGATGGGTGTTTATTTACCGTATCGTCAGCGAAATATCAGGAGGTAAGGTTTACCTATGGATGACGGTCCATGTGCCTCGCGTACATGACCGCCTGAAACTATTACGACGGCAAAATGAGTTCGCCCTACTACTGGTTTACGTCTTGCCATTGCTTTTGAGCAGGCCATGCGATACACCTGGTCGGTGATCAAAATGCACGCCGCTCCGGTGTCCGGATGGCTGTGCCGCGACCCGATCGTTGGCTGCGACGAGGACAACGAGATGGCGGACACGATTCTCGCACACATCTTCATGGAGTGAGTCCACGCTTGTATGGTGTACATGTACTTTGACATATCTGCTTGGTTTCGGAAGCAAAGGCGGAGCTCAGTACGGATGCGTCATATTTTTCGACAAGATGGCGCCGTAGTTGTCACCATGCATGCATGCGACGACCGAACACGTGCCCATCTCCACTTGCCTCTCCGTGTGCCCCATTCTCCGTACTTACGCTGGCACCCCTTGCTGCACTTGTCCATTCTTCCTCTTCTTCTCCTGTCGCTGCTGCCAGGCCGCTCTCGACCTTCTGCTCCAGGCTGGGCCTCCCCCAGTGTGTCATCAACGACATCGTCGAGGAGACGATGCGGGCTGGCGTTCACGGCCCGGCGGTCACGATATTCGTTGTTATGTCTCTTCTCTGCTTGGCGGAGAAGCAGGGGGCGGAGGACGCCGACGTGGTAAGCGAAGGCCGTTGCAGTGGGAGTAGATTGTCATTGCCGGCCGCGTCTCACCGGTACCTGTTCCAGTTACCGTCGTCGTGTCTTTACCGCACCCCTTCCCCGGCTGGTTCTGTACCGTGCCGCCCAGCACTTGATAATGGTTTCGTCCATCTTGAGAAGGAAACTGAACGAGAAGGATGCAACCTCGACGCTCCTCCCCCTCGTCGCCCTCTCCCTAGCTTTTTGGTTGTTTGCGAGGAGAGCAGAAGCCGACTGTGTTCCAAGGTACGCATTTCATCAAGTTCATCATGAAAATACTGTGTACGTACGTGACCGCTGTTCATAACACACGCACTTGCGTCTGTACCTCTTTCCCATCGGTACAGGTGGTGATGGTGAAGGTCCCCCTGATGGCCGCAGCAAGCAGCGTGAAGTCCTTCCAGGACATCTTGGAGCACGCCCCGGTGTCGCTCGAGCACTTCTTGACTGGGTACCGAGCCGCAATGGTCGGAGTACCGGCGTGCAACGACTGCGTAGAGCCGGTATAGAGCATCTCCGTCCTTTTTTTGTGGTAAACATTTGACCAGCAGGTGTTGCAAGCGGTACAGCGTAGAGTGCACTAAGATGCGAGCTGTTTGCATCAGCTCGCGTGGCGATAACAACATGTTCTTGTATTCTGTAACGGTTGTAGAATGGGCCTTTAGTTTTATGGATCATTGTGCCTCAGCCCTTCTCGAGACATAGTCTCTGGTGTGTGTGTCGATCGCTCGGGGTCGTACGTGTATCGTGTCTTGCTTGGTCCAGTCGAAACCATCTAGTGTCCTCGCGGCTGCGCTGAGTGTACCTGTTGTGCACCCTTGTTGCACGTTGTGTTGAAAGACATTGGGAATAAGTTGTTGGTTTGTGTTCGTGCTTGACCGTCCCAGTACATGTGAACCGAAGCATTTCTTGCAACGTGCATACGATTAATTGTGCATTGGTTCCGGAGGTATATTGCTGTGGTACGTAGGAGTCACGAGAGGTGTGTATTTGAGGTGGGCTGTTTTTCGTTGTGTAGTCTATCCCGGTGCACATCTCAGTCTCGTCATAAATAGCCGTTGCCCCCTCGTTTGGGTTAGGGCCTGCCCTTGCGTCAGACATGCCGCATTCTTTTCGTTCGACCCGTGCTGTTACTTGTTGGTGAGGCGGGATATTCGTGCAACTTGGTCGTATTTTGTTGCCGATGTGAATGCAAACAGCGGGGTGACAGCTGGACCAGACCAGGGTGACAGCTGGCTCACGACCAGGAGATGCGTTCACCGTGCGGATTGCTAAGTTCGGCATAAACACACAGTTTTTGGTTGCTGAGTTAAGCAGTTTCTCGCCAGATGGATCTGATACCACTGCTCGTCCTCAGTTTCTTTTCGGTGCGTGGGATTAAAACCTACCACTCACCAGTCATTGCTTGAGATGCCGCATTTTCACCATACCTGGTTTGCAACTAGTCTACAGAGGAGGAAACCGATTTACTCTGCCGCGTACCCGAGGAAGACAGGTGATTACCACGAAATATTTTATGGAACCCTATCAACCCAAACGATTACCACAACACGTTTCATTGAAAAATCATAACACAGGCAGTGACCAAAAACTGTTCAATGGAAAGTAACATGAATAAAGGCAATGACCGTAAAACTTTCATGGAAAAACCGTGCTCCGCCCGACGCGGCACCAGAGAGCACTCTGCAGCAACAAACGATCATGGAGCTTGGAAGAATCAGAAACGGCGCTCTGGGCTATTTGTCATTTAGCAACAGTTTGAGTGCGACTAAAATAGACTGCATCACGGAATCTCAGCTTGTCGCAACCATTGGTTGAGGTTTGAGGTAAGAGTGCGGCGCCCTGACCTTCGGAGTGACAACATGAAAACATTTGTAAAAAACACGAAAGAGAACAAAACAGCAGTCAATATCCTCAAAAGGATTGCCGCCAAACGGACTCATGTGTCGTGGCGAACAGGGACACCCGTTCCACATGGAATGACAACAGGTCCTTCTGTTATTGTTCGTCAAGGAACAAAACATCATCACCAACTGGAAGAGAAAATAACCGTGCGTCCGTCCACGTATCGCACACAACAAACAGAGCACACAAACAGATCAAACGGGCCAAAAACATACAACAAGCGCGCCTCTCATTCCCGCTCGTACCTCCCCCCGTCAGGAAAAGACACCGGCACAGACTTCGCGAGCTCTATAAACTCCGTTGAAATCTCAACTTCACCCTCGAGAAGGAAAGAAGGGGGCTCCCGTGTGTGTCCGCTTCGCTCTCAAAAGTAACCGGATGGTGCGCCGCCAAACCCGCTCAATCCTTGCAGCAAAGACAAGCACGCCTCTTCCTGCTCCTCCGCCTCCACGCTGTCGCACTTAAGGTCAGCCAGCAGCGAGAGCCTGCGGTTGGCCACCCCGCTGACGAACGCAACCGTCGAGTCAAAGTACACCGCGGCTCCGCCGCCGCCGCCGCCGCCGCCGCCGCCATCACCGGTCACGGCCCCCTTTCGCAAGATGCCGCCGCTGCCGCGGCTGCCGGCACGGTTGCCGCCGCCGGCACCACCGACGCCGCTGTCGCGGGCCCCCGCCCTCGCAGCCGCTTCGATAAGGTAAGTCACTACAGACGCCGCCCCGCCCTCCATTTTGACATTGGACACGAGCTGGTTAGCTAGCTCGAGCGAGAGACAAATGTACCTGCGGGAAGAAAGTTGGAATACACAAAAGGGGGGGGATCAAACTACAGCGACAATGAGGGGTGAACGAAGAGCTTCGTTGTACCCTGTACACTCTTTTGGAAATGAAAAATATTTCCCACGTTCAAGGAAGTCATCGCAATGCTAGCTGCACGACGTGCGTGCCACATTCCGTGTGTGTGTGTGTGTGGGGGGGGGGGGGGGNAGGTATTCGACGAGTCGCATGAAGGGTGCGCTGCATCCTGCGAAGGATGTTCGGCATCTTGTGCTTACTTGCTTGCGTACGGATGACAGCTGCGTATGACTTAATTTATTTTCTGGTGCTTTATCCAGAAACAGTCGTAAGCACAGTAGACGTCCCTGTTTAGTGTCGGGGTACACGCAAAATCTTCACCCGCACAACACCGGGCACCGGCACTATTGTGCAGAGTGCCTGAACAGTGCCAAAGGGGCACTACTCAGGGTCTGAATATCCCTCAATAGTTCCAGACCGGCACTTTATTGACGAACTGTGTGATTTCAGAGTGCAGCGCTTTGCTTTGCGGGGCCAACAGAGTACCACATGAAACGTACATGGTGAGATCATGGCATGGGGGTCGCGGGCAGACTGCTGTGCCACGATAGGGGTGGTTCCTGCCCTGTCGAACACACATTTTGCTGAATAAGTTAACTGGACGGGACACACATGCTGCACCTTGTTGCTGTACCCACCACAGCGCACGTACTGCACACTTGCCCAACCTGACTTAAACCCTTGACATGAATATCGCGAAGGATGCCCCTCACAGATGTCCAATACTTTGTTGGCGAGAATGCCGTGGCACTGGCCTTGAACGGATCAAATCATTTCGCGCAACCTTAGCATCACTCCTCGACAGCAAAAGCAAACCACTGATCATGAAGCCCATGGATTTTTGGCGGCAACACTTTTGCGAAGCTCCTGCTGGCATAACCTATTGGTGAAGGAGGAATCTAAATCTGTCTCTTCCTCACCCTCCTTCGATGTAGCCAGAACAAGAAAAAAAAAACACGACCGCAAGAACGGGACATGCAAGAAATCAAACAGCCGCTGTAGCTGTAACCCGCCCTCACTACGTCGTGATAAATTCCCGCATGTCTGCCTGGCGAGCCCGCTTTGCGGTATGCGCTGCGATCATCGCCATCCTCGCTTTCGACAGGTGGTACACGGCGTCTCCTTTGCCACTCTCCTCCGCTGCCGCCTCTAGGTACCCGAAGTGAGACGACAGTTCAGCGTAACCCGGTGGGGCACGCCGCCCGCGGCCCGCGTTTTCATCGTCGCTATCCCCCTCCTCTTCGCCGTCCTCGTCTTCGTCGTCCTCCTCTGACCCGGGAGACACGTGCGACCCAGCTGGCTGTGCCGTGATGTCGTCTACCGCGTCCTGCCGAAAAGCTGACCCGGGAGACACGTGCGACCCAGCTAGCTGTGCCGTCATGTCGTCTACCGCGTCCTGCCGAAAAGCTTCTACCACTTTGTCGTCGTCCTCAATAGAAGCCCAAGCCTGAAGCGTGTTCACCGCGTCCCCCACGGCAGCCTTTCCGGGTTCAATGCTAAGTTCCGCCAACAGCTCACACAGCTCCTCGTCTTGAATGCTGGGTCCCTGCTGCTGCGCCTCTAGCACGCTCGTGCTCAATGTGTTGAGACTCTTCGTGAGAGCCTTCATCTCAGGCTCGGCGATCCGGTCTCGGGCCTTTCCGTGTTGCTTGGGTAGTTCAGCTGCCATCTCCGCCGGAAGCGTGTCGGCTTTGACAAAGCAACTGGTTCCAGGTAGCGCAGAACATGGAACAGCAGTCCGATTGTGAGTTGACCAATTGATGTTAGACGAGACCAGCATTTGACAACAAATCATCGGCAAGCGAGAAAGCATTATGTTGTAGCGAAGCAACAACGGGGGGTGCTGGAATACCTAGTCGAAAACGTAAACATCTATCCGTGCAGCCTCGTTTCGTACTACCAAGCTTGTGCACACTGCATGATTTCAAAATTTACACAGCGACAGCACATGTTCAAACCTGACCTAGCGATGTCCCGGGCGGTGACGCTGGTCTAGGCTTTCTGGAGAATTTCGGCGGCGTCACGCACGTGAGTGTGAGGTTGGTGCCCTTGTGCCGGCCCCGCTGTCCCGCGCTTCACCTTACGGGCTTTGGCCTGGGCACGAAGGGTCTCAGCCACCAACATGGTTTTTGTCTTGACATCGAGCAGCTCTTTCCTGTAGATGGCCTTGGTCTTGGCGATGATCCCCTGGTCCATGGGCTGGTGTACGTTGGTGCAGTTTGGAGGGTAAAACTTGACGGCAACTTGCCCGCGTTCATCCGCTAGATCAGCGTGAGACGAGCAGTCGTCCATCAGCAGCAGCACAGGTTCGTTGGTGAAGCGCCGAACGAACGGGAGGAAGACCACGCCACCACTTGAGGAACGTAGCGGTATCAGACCACGCGTTAGCTTGGGGTAAGCACTTGAGAGCGCAAATCGCGCCCGTCAGGCAACGGGGTTCCTTTGCCTTCCCGATGATGGCCATGTCAACCTTTGCAGTACCATCTGCATTGCAGCACATGATGGCAGACAAGCGATCCTTGAAGTACATGCTCTTTGAGCCCCGCGCCGTCTTCCGATTCTCCGAGGTGGACAGGTATGTGCGCCTAGGCATAAGTTTCCGCTGGATGCCTGTCTCGTCGACGTTGAAGATGAGCCTAGCTGCGTACTTCGCGCAGACGGCCCTGATTGCCTGCATGCCCTCCTCGATGGCCTCGCGGCTGACGCTGCTAGCCTCGCCATGAAGTCTCGTGCTCTGAATGTTGTTGCGAATCACGAAGTTCCTGGCCCACTTGTCGTCGGCCTTGCAATTCCTGGAGCCTCGCCCTGACTGCTGCAGGAGTTGTGAGCTCAGCTAGCAGGGTTGCCTTGGCGGAGCGGCCGAAGCTTCGAATGGCGTCGTGTGTGACAAACATCTTGGCTTTCCGGGCTTTCTCGAGTAGATCAAGAGCAACGGCATCCACCTGCCGTCAAACAAAGAGTATCAAGTTTTAAGAGGGCAGAGATAATCCAATGGTTAGCTTCGAATATTATGTTTACGTGCATCCAACATTGTGCAGCGCATTCAGGCTGGACCTCGTAGTTCGCAGTGTTAAGCTGCTAATTGCTTTGTTTTTTCGAGTTTTGTTCCCATTTGTTTGTTTCAAGTACACTCTGAAGGAAAATACTTTGTTTACTACGCAGGAAAAAGCGACAAGCGTGCAAGCTGCATATTAGGTATGTATACTGGCATGCACAGTCGTGCGTGCGGATGATTTTTTTTTACAGCTCTGTCGCAAGAGCACAAAAAAGCAGAAAAAAAGGGTCCCATGCAAGGGAGGAGAAGAGAAGAGCTTGAACAGATTCACAAAAAAAAGGACCTCGAAAAAAGAAGGCCTCGAAAAAAAATGAGTCTCGAAAAACGTATTCTAAACACAAACAAGTGCAGCAACAACAGCAGATGGACACCAGTTTCGCGCACCTTGCGATGATCTCCTTCGCGGATATTCTTCTTGCTGCCGCTGCCTGCTGCAGCAGCCTCGTTCTCCACCTTCTCCCGTTCGGCCTTCACTTTGCGGATCAACCGTTCCAAGCACCCGAAGCAGTCTGCTTTCTCTCCTTGAGAGAGCTTCGCATCCACCAGCTTGAGGATCTCGACCATCTGGTGTACGTCCAGCCGCTTACGAGCTTCGTTCTTACTCGTCCCTTGTGCGTTCGGGCGTTTAGATTGCCCCTTCCCAGCACCCTCTGCTGCTCTCGCTTTGCGCATGCCAGTGTTGGCTACGCACGTACTGCAGATGCAGTTCACCTCGCTGTCGTCAAACATGCTTCCACATTCGCGATGGAGCCGCGCGCCGCATCATCCCCGGCAGATGTGGCCATTAGGGGCTTGTAGCGTTCTGTCCGGTATGCGGCACAGGTCACCTTCCGCACATGGCATGGTGCGCCTCTGCGTACAGCTGTTCGGGTCTGCAGCAGCACGTGTACCCTTTCCTCTGTGTGTGTCTTCTGTGCTGTGCGTCTCTTGTGTGTTGTGTGTGCGTGCGTGCTTGAACCGGCACTATTGTGGGGTTCAGTGGGGCCCGAACCGGTACAAAAGTGGGCAGCCCTGAATAGTGCCGGTCTGACACTATTCAGGGCGGGTTCTGTGCGCCGAGATTTGACCGGTACGATACCGGCAACCGGCACTATTCAACCGGCACCAAACAGGGACCTCTACTGTACTATGTACCTGCCTCGAGGATGGTCGGCCATTTCTCCACAACGTGGGGCGACCATCCCCCTTGCGCGGAGTGAGGGTTATCGACCCGCACAACATGATCTACTCGACCACCATAATGGTTGCCGCAAAAGAAAAAACGGACGTAAAAAACAAAAACGGTAACCTGGTTGCCGAGTTCACGAAGTGATTTGGCTTGTTTTACAACGTCGTTGCCAAGCGACGAAAACCCACCCAACCCCGATGGCAAACACAGGGGGGGGTGTACTCATAGTCGTGCATGCTGTAGTCGTTAGACCATTGACCTCGCATCCCTGCAAAGCCGGGACGGAGCACGCCGGGTTCTCACCGGACCAGGCTCTCACATCACCAAGCGCGAAGCGCCGTGAGATATTCGGCGAGTCGCATGAAGGGTGCGCTGCATCCTGCTAAGGGTGTTCGGCATCTTGTGCTTACTTCCTTGCGTACGGATGACAGCTGCGTATGACTTAATTTATTTTCTGGTGCTTTCACTTCCAGAGACAGTTGTAAGCACTGTGTAACTGCCTCGAGGGTGCTTGACCATTTTAACACAACGTGGTGCGATCATCCCCCTTGCGCAGAGTGAGGGCTCTCCATCCCGCACAACATGATCTACTCGACCACCACTATGGTTACCGCCATAAAAGAAAACAGAGGTAAAAAGAAACGGTAAGCTGGTTGCCGAGCTCACGAAGTGAATTGGCTTGTTTTACAACGTCGTTGCCAAGCGACGAAAACCCA